TATGGCGAAAACCGAGCAAATACTCGCGAAATAGAAAAAAATGTATGACTGATATCACAAAGACGACATTTTACATACCAGGGGAATCTGCATTTACATACTTATCTGGCATAGCTTGAAGGCATATTTCAAATTGTAACATACATCTTATTATCTCCTTGATTCTGTTGACAGACTTGACATTACAGCAAAGGATAACCAGCCCTGCAACATTTCACTGAAAATCTGGATATCCTTTCTTCAACAATACAAATCGACTAAAAATGATTATTTCAGTGCATACTTCAAGCCCTAATGTTCAACAGCTGTTACTAACAAACTGTTCTGAGGCTAAAACCCATTTTATTATTATTTTTTTCACATCAAATGTCACTAAATAATTCTCCACGTTACCAAGAAGTTTCTAGTTAGTATCACTGGTGAGCTAAGTAACAGACACAAATACACTCATATGTATTTGCCAAGAGCTGAATAGAAGTCTTGGAGACAGGACAGGAGGTGGGGGAAGCTGGTCCGGTCTTCAGGCGCGGGGGCCCAGCAACAAGCCATCATGCCAAACCTGTTGGGGGGAAAATAGAGAAAAAAGTGGTAGAGAGACGCGTAACTGTGTGTTTCTTCTTTCATGTCAGAATGTTGTTTACGAATATCATCGTGTTTTGGTTCTATGTTGAAGATGCACTGGTAATTATTATTTGAAAATATGAATTTGCTATTCACCAGATCTAGGTAAACTCTTCCCTCATTCTACAAAGTAAAGTAATAACTTCATGAATCAAAGGTTGTGTTATCTCTTAACCTAAAGCAAAAATGCACGTTATATACAACTTAAGCATAACTATCCGAGGGGAAATAAAGAATCTCTGTAACTAACAACTCATCAGGACAATTTTGAGGCTGGGCCAAGCGGTAGCCGTCCCTCAGGTACGCTGCCATTTCAAACGGGTCAACTTCAATATATGGTTGTTGAGCCAAAGTCGTCAACTCCCACAGTAGTACACCAAACATCCACTGCAAAACCAAGGAATAAATTGAGTGAACAGTAAGAACTCAAATTAGCTTACAAGAAAAAATGCACTAGTTCAAATGTAGTAAGAATTGGATCAGTTCAAATATAATAAGAATTGCATTATTTCAAATATAATAGAAATTGCATTAATTCAAATACAATACACAAATGACATCAATTTCAAACAGATTTCAAACCAAAGAGTCGAAAAGTGATCAATTTACCACATCATTGGCAGGAGTAAACTGTTTATGGATAAGGGCCTCAAGGCTAAGCCACTTAACAGGGCGGTTTTCGTTGTCACCCAGGCAGTGGTAATCCTGTGGGAACAAGTCGCGAGCAAGGGCGGTGTCGGACACTCGAACCTGCAGCTCAGAGTCTATGCTGTGGGCGGGAAGAAAACGTGAGCAGAAACAACATAAAAAAAGAGAAATGGAAATCGAACCATAAAAAACACTGTACAATTGTTTCATGTCGGACGGTTTCAGATTGAAAAGAAGCCTTTTGATGGACACTCGATTTCTGTTCGGATTGGAAACCAGAAGGGCAGACAACACGGACTATTGCACAGACACCACGATACAGAGAAATGGATACATACAGGCAGTTTCTCGTGGCGACATCCTTGTGGAGGAGACGCTGCTGGTGGAGGTGGATGAGGCCAAGACACACCTGGATGGCAATGTGAACCAGGTCCCTTGTGAGCAGCTTCACGCCCTCGCTCGTCCCGCGGCCGCAGCCCAACAGGTACCTGGAAGGAGGGTCTTCGGGTTCGGCCATGACTCGCAACTTCAGTTTGTATATTCATACATGTATGCACTCATACGTCCACATACATACATACATGCGTACGTACATACATACACACACACACATACATCCATGCATATATACAAATACAAAAGAAGAGAAAAATAATAAGAGTGAGAAATATAACGAATGTACTGACCGAGCTGTTAAACAATTAGAGAGAAAATGATGAAACACAGGGGGGCGGGAGTAAATAGAAATAAATAAAAAATTAGAATGTAGAAAGATATAGATAGTACAGACTGACAAACAGGTAGACAGATAAAGAAGTAGACAGATAAACGGATGAATAAACAGACAGACAGATAGATTTAGAGAGAGAGAGAGAGAGAGAGAGAGAGAGAGAGAGAGAGAGAGAGAGAGAGAGAAGAGAGAGAGAGAGAGAGAGAGAGAGAGAGAGAGAGAGAGAGAGAGAGAGAGAGAGAGAGAGAGAGAGAGAGAGAGAGAGAGAGAGAGAGAGAGAGAGAGAGAGAGAGAGATACTGTACATAGATAAATGTATAAACAAAGTGATAAAGTGAGGCATGGACAGATAGAGATATAGACTAGATGAATATATCAATAGTAAGCATGAAGATCAATTGAGAGAAAAGAGAGACAAATACAGAGAACAAACTGGCCATTAATCCGCACACCATTAAAGGTAATGAGACAAAAAAAAAGGGCATCGATCATTATCAAATCT